TGGCTTCTGCCGTAGCATTGCTATCATCGCCTCCGGCGATGGGCGTCAAAGGTCAAGGTCAAGGTCAGGTGTGTGTGTGTGTGTGTGTGCGTGTGCGTGTGCGTGTGCGTGTGTGTGTGTGCGTGCGTGCGTGAGGGGTAACTGCAGTTGGATCCCGGGACGGATACCCTGATGCCGTCAATCTTTTTTTCTGCACCTTGTCCTCACCCACTTACTGAGGTGTGGTGAGCCCATAAGTGGGATCATTTTCAAGTCCACCCAGAGTTTTGGGGATTTCAGGGGGTGTCGGCCGTTGGGCGGTTCAATAGCCAATTGAGTCATCTTTCCAAGATTCCTTTTGAGTCTCTCTCCCCTCTCCCGGGGAGACCCACGTGACCAGTTTTGGCAGTGAGCAACAAGTACAAGTACAAGTACAAGTGTGTGTGTGTGTGCGTGTGTGTGTGCGTGTGTGTGTGCGTGTGTGTGTGTGTGTGTGTGCGTGTGTGTGTGTGTGTGCACACACAAAACAATGAACTACTACAGTAGTACAATACTGGTTTCGGTAATTTCCCTCTGGGCTTTCTTCACCTTCCTCTGCTTCATCAGACCAATGCCGGGGGGATTTCCCTCTGGGCTTTCTTCACCTTCCTCTGCTTCATCAGACCAAGGCCGGGGGGATTTCCCTCTGGGCTTTCTTCACCTTCCTCTGCTTCATCAGACCAAGGCCGGGGGGATTTCCCTCTGGGCTTTCTTCACCTTCCTCTGCTTCATCAGACCAAGGCCGGGATTTCCCTGCATATCCACCCATGATTGTATCGTTTTTTGTTTGTTTGGGTGGGTGTTTGTCTGTGTCGGTGTGTCTATGACTGACATGTTGCGTCTGTCTGTCTGTCTGTCTGTCCGTCTGTCACTGCCTGTCTGCCTGCCTGTCTGTGCCTCTGTGCGTCTGTGCCTCTGTGTGTCTGTGCATGCACGTCTGTGCCAATATTGTTACGCTCACAGATATAATTGTGGGTGCGCCCTCCGCGGAGTCCGTCGTGTACCTCAAGTAAGCTTGGCTATTTTTTTCTTAGGTTGCTTTGACAGGTGCCAGCCCATGCCACTCCTTCCCGGCCTGACCACCAGCAAGTGTGTGTGTAACCATAGACTCCACTTGTTGCCATGGCAAGCACCTGTAACCGTGGAAATCACCTGTTTATGGGTGTTGGGCGAGTACAGACATCGCATGCCCTGTGCATGGATTGCATAGAGTAGAAACTGTTGCTAGTTTTGCATAGAGTGGAAACTGGCGCTAGTTTTGCATAGAGTGGAAACTGGCGCTAGTTTTGCATAGAGTGGAAACTGTTGCTAGTTTTGCATATAGTGGAAACCGGCGCTTGTTTGCATTGAGTGGTGCACGGTACTGGTCTATGGTGAGATTGAGTGGTGCACGGTACTGTTGCTATGGTGAGATTGAGTGGTGCACGGTACTGTTGCTATGGTGCACGGTACTGTTGCTATGGTGAGATTTGAATGGCAAGTGTGTAAAGAGGATATGCCATGACGTCGTGTGACGTGTGCTGAAGGCGAGGTTGGTAGGTGTGCGTGTGTGTGTGTGTGTTTGTGCACGTGTGAATGCACATGTGCGTGTGGTGTGTGCGTGTGTATGCATGCACGCGGCTTCGTGCATGGGTGTGTGTGTGTGTGTGTGTGTGTGTGTGTGTGTGTGTGTGTGTGTGTGTGTGTCACGACCGCGTGTGCATGGTAGTCCTAACGTCATGCTTCTTGATGCTCCGTTATGCGTTTGTGCGTTTTGTGTGCGTCTGCCTAGGTCTCGCCCAGTGGCTCACCTGAATGCTAACTTCACCTTCTCGCCGGCCAAGATCGACTTTGACAACTGCCAGAACAACGTCTGGTAAGGGAACCTATCGTGTTCTCCGCAGGAGAAGCCGCACTTTTTTTGAATACTCAAAATTTACTGACTGTTGCCTAGTGACTGTTGCCTAATCATTGGTTGTTGCCTAGCGACTAGCCGATGCCTACTAATTATTGCACGGAGCCTGAAAAAGATCCACTGTAAACTTCTCAAGCCAATACCCGAGTGGCAAACCAAGTACCGTCGTCCCTCTCTAATCCGGCACCTTTTACAACGGCATTTTCTGCTGGATAAACAAGGGTGCTGGATTATCAAATCCTGCCCTCCAACCCGGCCCACCTACTAACATACATGTACCTGTTTGTGTCACACGTCAAAACGTAGGGATTTTCTTGTGTCAGTCCAAGTACTTTGTGGAATGCATGTCTTAAACATAGACTTGCCGGGAATACCCTATGCACTGGCATAGGGTATTCACGGCAAGTGTATGTTACATGTGTTGTGTATGTTACAATGGTCCCTGACAGTATACGGTGTACAACTGCTGGATTAGGAACTCGAATAATGTACAGTTTGAGTGATTTGTTGCAGAAAATCGCTGCTGGAGGCGGAATTCAAGTGCTGGATTAAAGCGTAGAAAATGAACTGCGTTTTGCGTTTTTGCGTTTTGCCAGAAAGTGTGCTGGTTTGCAAGGGTGCTGGATAAACAAGTGCCGGATTAGAGAGGGACGACTGTATGTAACTAGCTTTATCCCTGCATGTGTTTGTTGTGTTCGTGTGTGCATGTGTGTGCGTGTGTGTTTTGTACATGTGTGTGTGTCTGTTTGTGTGTGTGTGTGTGTGCGCGCATGTGTGCGCGCGCGTGTGCGTGTGTGTGCAAGTGTGTGTGTTTGTGCGTGCGTGCATGTGTGTGTGTGTGTGTGTGTGTGTGTGTGTGTGTGTGTGTGTGTGTGTGTGTGTGTGTGTGTGTGTGTGCGTGTGTGTGTGTGTGTGTGATGCTCCTGTTCACGTGCAGCTTCACCGCACGGGTCTGCTACTTTGTCGACACGGTGCGCAGTGTCAGCGTGAAGGCAACGGGACCTCTGAGTCAGTTTTCAATCTGCCTATCTATAGTGTACAGTGAAACTGTCTAAGACGACCATTCAAGGGACCTTCAAAATGTGGTCTCCATTGCCAGGTGGTCTCCATTGCCAGGTGGTCTCCATTGCCAGTGTCATTTCACTGGTAATACCATCCCTCGGTCCTGGTTGCAATGGTCTTCTGGAACAGGCGGTTGCCTGATCCGAGTGGTCGCCTTGACAGGTTTTACTCTAATTCTACTGTGTACATTCCGTACTGTTGTACTGTCGTGGACATGGAAATCCAGTCGAATGACCGGGGCCGGCGCCCTCAGTGCGTACAGAGCGTTGCATGCACACTGCACACGTTGATCCTTTTTTTCTTTCTTTTTTTCGATTCGACCAGCGCCGTGCAGCGCATAAATGAATGTGTGTACGGTATGCGTACCCACGGCTGCATGGCCAGCGCACTGGGGCCGCTAGACGTGCGACCGGATTTCCATGTCCACTCCAGTAGCACTGTACTGACATATAAATATAACGAGGAAAGCAAATCTAATGTTTTAACGGGTGCCATTTTTTCGTTATAATAAGTTCTGTTGAGGCTGTAACGCCCCGCATGTGTTATGTGCGGATATGCCTGAAGACCTCGAGATCGTTAACGTATCTTCTCGTTAACCCTTTGTGAAAGTACGACAATTTACTCACCTTCGAATAACGTGCACTTTCACTTGTATCTCTACCAAACATTCACCTTTTTTTTACTACTAACTAGCCACTGCTGGAAAGGTATATCCAAGACGAAGCGACTAACACCATGCTCAAGCCAGCTACCTGCACAGCATCTGCTCTGCGTGGCCTAGATTGCCGCTCAAACCAGCAGCCGTCCGCGAACAGCTTCAGCAAAGTTCAAACAGCCGCCATTCCATTCTCCTTCATCACATGACTTCTAACAAACTACAGCGGAAAGCTCGTTTCAAGCGCAACATGTTGGTGTGCAGCATGCTTGAGCATGACGTTACATTCCGGGGACCCCCTCCCCCCCCCCCCCCCCCGCCAAGTGCAGCGTGAAATTTTGGATCAGAGTGCATTTTTCAGTTTCCCTCCGGCTTCGAGTATCACCACGGCAGCATCGTACCTCCTAGAGACTTCGGATAACTTCGACGTGATAGCCAAGGTTCTTCTCGAAACGTAGATGCTTTGTTTATGAAAATCAGTAAAGGAACACAGGAGATATAATTGGTTTAGTGCCACTGTCTACCGATCGATCGATCAATTGGGTCACAAAGGGGTAACCTATGGGTTTTGGACAATTTTTAAATTTAAACTCGTTGTAATAACATGTCTTTCTGTACGTTATTTCGTGCACGTCGTGTGTACGTTGGTGCCCGCACGTGTTGCTGTGGTGTGAAAAGCAGTCTACGTCGTCTTGAGTTTGTCATGTCTAGTTGTGTTTCCGTAGTCCTGTCGTAATAAAATGATAGTCTCTCAAAATGTAGCTATCGCGTCGTGTTGTCTAAGAGTGGAGATTGCACGGGGCTGGGGGCCGGAATGAGAAAATCCAGTTACAACAATTGTCTCTATCCAACACACATAGTGTACAGTCAACTTGGCGTATAACGACACTCGGCGGGGCATCAGAAAAGTGTCCTTATTCGCGAAGTGTCGTTATACCCGAAGTCCCATTATATGTATTACGGTTGGATGGGACTTTGCTCTGGGCATGGAAATTCTGTCGCTATTCGCGAATTGTTATATCCGCAGTCGTTATTAGCGAAGTTGACTGTATATCAGGCTGGTGTACGGTGGTGCTCAGGGAAACCCGGTCGTGTCTCTCAAGTTTGCGCCTTGCTGTTCAGTTGGCGGGGCATGGTCACTGATTTTATTTATGTACATGTACATGCGTGTGCGGGTGTGTGGATTTGTGTGTGTGTGTGTGTATGTGCACGTGTGTGTGTGTGTGTGTGTGTGTGTGTGTGCACGTGTGTGTTTGTGTTTGTGCGTGCACTTCTGCCTGTCAACTTTAACTCCTCAACTTCCACGCAGCGGCCAATCTCTCCTTGTGCGAGGCAACAGCCAATAGTAAATGTGTGTCGGAAGTGGATGGA